ATATAAAGCTAAAGAATTATTACCCAGTTCTATGTATATATAAGAGAAAGAGAAAGAGAAAGAGAAGAGAGAGCGCGCGCGTGCGAGCGTGCACGTTTGCATACTTCCAGATGTATTCATCTCCCCCTCATTCTCATCTGGTCTCCTTCTTATTCAATTTGGAAAAGGAAGTTGAGATCAATTTACCTAAAGATAATTATTTGGCCAAAACCGGTTTGGCTCAATGGATAGAGCGTCGGCTTGGGGACAGAAAGGTCCCGGGTTTGATTCCGGTCAAGGGCATGTACCTTGGTTGCGGGCATATCCCCAGTGGGGGGTGTGCAAGAAGCAGCTGATCGATGACTCTCTCTCATCGATGTTTCTAACTCTCTATCTCTCTCCCTTCCTCTCTGTACAAAATCAATAAAATATATTAGAAAAAAAGATAATTATTTGCCCTTCCTCGACTTAATATAGTACCTAATATAGCAGCCTCTGACGCCCATGGTCACTGTGTGAATGGGTGAAGGATATATCTGTCACGTGTGCTGTGGTGTGTTTGGGTCCTTGGGAGCTGGAGGTTGGTCCCTGGTCTGCCAACCCGTTGGGAATCAGGGATTCACGATTCACATGGTGGGTCCTGAGGAGGAGGGGAATGGTGTGGTAGGCTTGTCCAGTTTTAGGTCATGATAAAGCTTTTTGCCCCCTCCCTTTCATGTGTATCTATTCCCAGACATAGACTGGAAACAAGCTCTGTTTGAGTCTGACTCTGTCACCGGGACAGGAAATTACAGCTGTGAACCCGGTGGTTAGCATTCTCTGGTGTGGCCTTCGACTTACTAATAAGCGCAGCTGACATTTCTGCTCAGCCCATCTCATGCTCAGTTCTGCCGACAAGGGGTACATTTTCCCAGTGGGTGCCAGTCATTCACTCGTTTGTTAGTTCACTTGTTCACCCAGTATTGACTATTGCGCACTCTGTCTTCTCAAGGAACTCACAGGCGTGGGGGTGGGGCCTCGGTTGCCAGGCCTGCAGATGAACAGGTATATACATGGTGGGTGGGAGCTTGGGCAAAGTGGGGTCCGGTGAGCTCTCCTAGCTTGTTCTGCTGTGAGGACTCAGGTTCAGATCACAAGGGCAGAGAGTGTCGATGCGCTCCCAGGTGCGGGGGGGAGTCTGGTGGGAGCCAGCAATGCTGGCAGCTCCTACGTTGCAGTGCCTTCTAGTCCTGTGGCCACATGGTCTCGTGTGTTGCCCTCAGAGAGCTGTTTTGGCTATACTTGTGCCAGAGAAACCAAGTCAGCCAAAGGCGAGTTTACCTAATCGACGGGTGCTTTTCAGAGTCTGGGTGCCTTGGTGCTATTGCCCCAGGGTCAGACCTATGTTTGACATTTAAGACGCCAGCCAGACATTTTCTCTGCTAGGTGGGCTCCCCTGAGAGGTTTCACTGACTCCTGTCTTTGCTGGGCTTCTGCCCTGTGCCTGTACCTCATTTGTTGCAGCCTCTGCATCTGGTGATGGAAGAGCCTGGCAAACTGTCCTCGGCCTGCCTTTCAGCAGGTGGATGTTGGTGGAGTGATGTGGACTGTGCTCTTTGGCGAGATGCACCAGCCCCCATCCTCCCTTCCACCTCTAGCATAGTCTTGGCCCATCCCAAACGCCTGGAAGACTCTATATGGTTGACTTAGTTTGACTCATCTAGGTCCTCTGGGTCCCGCTCGCTGCATCAGGGGGTAGGTGGGAAATAGAGGTTGTTGGGGACAAAGAGGGGATGAATAATACAAGACGGGCCTGCTGGCTCCCTTATCTGCCACAGCCAGTGGGCAAAGATGCCACAGAAGTGATCCCAACCCCGAAACTTGAAGGAGGCTCCAAGTAGGGGAGGCAGCCAGACCTCCTAGGTGCTGGGACCAGCCTATGCAAAGGCACAAGAGAGAGCAGCGTGTTTGATGTGGTGGGAGACGAGCAGGAGGAGCAGAGGAGACAGCGGGTGGAGCCAGTGGAGGGCTGTGGTGCACACGGGCTGGAGCTCCGGTGTCTGCAGGGTGAGCCCTGGTGTAGGTGCAGTGCTGCTGGAGGAAGAAGATCCAGGCAAGGAGGCTGAGCATGAGCAGGGGCAGCCGGAGGGACCAGAGGCAGGGCTGAGGGGTCTTGGGAGAGGTGTGGAAGGATCCATAGCGTCTGGGGCAGCAGCTGCTTGACTGCCATTTCCTATCAAAGCCTGGTCTACAGTCTCCTGTTGGCAGCTAGCCAGTGGCCCTGCCCATTGGGCGAATGTCTGGCAGGCAACGGGCCTCACCATAGAGAGCCACCCCCCTGAACTGGAGAGGGACAGCAGTGTGTGTGGGGGCAGGGAGGTAAGAGCTTCTGGATGTTCTCCTAAGATGGGTCGGTAAACCCTTCCTGCAAAGGGCCAAATGGGAAGTATTTTAGGCAGTGCAGGCCACTCGCTCTCTGTTATCACAACTCTGCTCTGCATTGTGGCATGAGAACAGCCACAGACAACTGAAAACATGGCTGTCTTCCAGGAAACTGCTGCTGACCCCTGCCCTGTCCCACGTGGTCGGCAATATTAGCACCATATTTTCAGCTGATGGAACTGAGAAGCAAGAGATGGTCATTTGCTCAGGCCAGTGGTCGGCAAACTCATTAGTCAACAGAGCCAAATATCAACAGTACAATGATTGAAATTTCTTTTGAGAGCCGAAAACCGACTTCTGCGCATGGGCCATGAAGTTTCAATTGCATTGTACTCACGCGCTCACATGTGGTATTTTGTGGAAGAGCCACACTCAAGGGGCCAAAGAGCTGCATGTGGCTTGCAAACCGCAGTTTGCTGACCACTGGCTCAGGTCATCGAGGTGAGACTTGGGAGATCTGGGATTTGATTAGAAAACCTATTTGCTGCCCTGATGTTATTTTTGTTAGAGTGGCCCTTGATGTGCAGAAGTTATTTTCTTATCGGACTTGTTCTTTGCTTCACGATAAGAAAGGCCTCTGCTGCCCCAAGATGGCATCAGTGTTTGTCCACATAGTCATAGAGCTTTTATTGCTGCTTTTCACATATTTAAGTTATTTTGTGTGAATTTATTTTGATACATAGCAGAAGCAAAGGTTTAAGTCTTGTTTCTTGCTCCCAAAATGCTTTCTTGCCCTGGCAACATTTATGGAGGAATCTGTCTTTCCCACAGGGAATTAAAATGCTGCTCTGTATCCCATGTCGACTGTTTACAGTTAACATTATCCCGTGGCCTTGACCAGATTGTCTGTTCGGTTCACTGGGGGCAAGTCAGGAATGGAATTGAGATGGGTGGTCCTTGGTGCTTCAGCCTGGAAGGCTGCCATGCAGCATCTCTGCTCTGCTGTCACTTGCAGTGTGTGCGGTGGCAGGTAATGAAGAAGGAAGTCACAGTGAATAGACTAAACAGATAATGGGATGTGTGGTGCTGGGGATGGAGAGAAAATTACAAGTTAGGCAGCGCCTCTGCCACTGAGTGTAGCCGCCTTGAAGAAATATAATATTTATATAATATATAGACATCAACCCAAACGTCACCTACTGGCTCTACTGCAAAGTGAAAGCATATAAAGTTAAAGTTTATTGAATCTGTGGTTTGTTTTTTTTTGCGGGGGGTGGGGGGGAGGTGTGATACTAGGTCTTTGACCATGTCCTTTCCCACCATTCCCACCATTGTTCCCAAGGCAGCGTGGGGGAAGGCAGAAGGGACAGTTGTCTGACATCCTGATTCCTGTGATGGACGTCACAGGATTCCTAGTATCAGAATACTGTTTTATTTGTGTCCTTGGTCATTTTTACGTTGAAGCAAATACAGGCTGTGGTCCCGGAGGCTGGAAATGCACAGCGTGGAAGGGAAAGGTTCTTACCAGCATGATGGTGAGGATTGGTGTGGATTGGGTCATTGCTATTTCTGTGGCTTCTGTGGGACAGCACCATGAATTTCTTAGGTGTATATAAAGCATTAAGTGAGATAGTGCCAGTAGAGGCTTTGAACAGAGCTATACTTGTATAAGGGTTCAAATTTTAGCTAAAAGGAAGAAACCAACAATCCATACCTTTTTTCTAAAGAGGATTTGGAGCAGTGCATTAAAACAGATAAGAAATAAATTGAGACCAGTGATAGGCAAATTGACACAGGTGGACATACAGGCTGGAGAAGATCAGAGCAGGGTTAGGGCACATCCTGGTTTGCACATGGCTAAGTACACTCATTAGATGTGTAATTTTCTCTGTGAGCTTTCTAGTAGCCACACCAAGAGAGAAACATAGTTTATAGGGTTTCTTAAGTGGAAAAATCCCAAATAACTCCAGGAGAAATGAGAAGCTTCTGGACTTGAAATCTGAGTGACACAGTGAACGATGTCTTGAATGCATGAATGGGCAGTGAGAACAGTTGTGTGATATAGGTAGGAAACTTGGGTGGTTATTTAATACAAAGGCATAGTTTCCTATGGGTGAATACTTCCTATGTAAAAGCTGTCTAGGAGAGGAGCTCCTGTAAGCAATTATGGACTGTGTTTTGGGAATCCCCCTTGTCCCCCCGTGTCGCCTGTATGCTGACTATAGAAAACCAGATATCTTAGTAAACTTGAGGATTTCTATGTCAGTGTGGACCCAAGTGTCACTCGATTTGCTGTGTGATCCGCTGTTGATAGGCAGCTGTAACTGGGAATGTGCATTGTTCAGAACAGATGTGGTCCAGCAGCAGGGACCTGGAAGCACTTGGAAACCGCAAGCCTGCTATTCCAGGCAGCTGAGGGTTTGGCAAAGAGACAATCCACACATATTTCATCCTGCCCTTCTGTTTTGTGTGGCTAATAAGAGTGAGCAGCTGAGCCCATTGGATGGATAAGTTAGGCTGTATAGTAATTACTTTTAAAGGGGAAAGGGAACTTGTGTAGACAAGTCACTATAAATAGCCCATAACCCAGATTGGTGGTTGGTGAGAGGACAGCAAATAGGAGAGTTCCCTGGACTAATGTGGATGTGCTTTCTTCCTAGGTGAACTGCGCCAAGCCATCGTGGCCATGATGAACCGGAAGGATGAGCTGGAAGAAGAGAACAGGTATCTGACCTCCAGGCTCAAGGCAGAGCCTCGTCCTTTGACATTCTAACTCTGGGACTGAAAAGATGAAAAAATTCTGCTTTATTGGCAAAATTGAATTGTGACCAATGATTTTGTATTACTTTTGGTTTGCAAATTACCACTTTAATATATATATATAGTAGTTTGAGTGAGCAAGGAATGAAAACCTCACATTCATGGCACCACCTTAGAATAAGCTTAAAATTTGGTAAAGCAATCTTTTTAAAACTTTAAAAAACAGCCTTACTGAGATAGAATTCATGTATCATATAAATCACCCATGTAAAGTGTATACAGCTCAATGGTTTTATTATGTTCACAACTATATGAATCACCACCACAATTTTAGAACATTTTTATCATGTAAAAAGAACCCCATGTACCTTAATGGCCATCCTCAGACCCAGTGAAGCAATCTTTTGAGTAATCTTTTTTTTTTTAAATTTCTTTATTGATTAAGATATTACATATGTGTCCTTATTCCCCCATTACCTCCCACCATCCATGCTCTTACACCCCCCCCCCATTGTCTGTGTCCATTGATTAGGCTTATATGCTTGAGTAATCTTTAATTGAGGGCCTATCTGCCATGTTCCAGGCACTTGGAATACTTGGCTTAAAGTTTTTTCCTCTAATGGGTACTTTGGGCAAGATGGTACTTGAATTCTTTTGACTTTCCCAAAAGCTCAGGTGCAGACATTGAGAGGGCAAAGGGCTATCTTTTGTTCCCTGTTGAAACCAGTGCTACATACTAGACAGGTATTATCTGTCCTACTACCATCTGGCTGCCCGATGGGAGCCTCTCAACTGCCAGACCTTGTCTAGGCTGCAAGGTGGTCAGGAGAGGGATTTGCCTGCCTCTCTGGGTGTTGGCGTGGGTCAGGTACCTCTATCTGTGCACGTCTGTGTGAGCTTGTGCTCATGTCACTCTCTTATTATTATTTTTTTAAAAATTAAATTAAATTTTTTTTAAAAAAATTATTCATTTTATTGATTATGATCTCACATAATTGTCCTTATCCCCCCATTCCCATCCCAAACCCCTCCCTACATATGCCCCCACCCTCCTGTTGTCCATGGCCACTGGCTAGGCCCATATGCATGCACACAAGTCCTTTGGTTGATCTCTTCCCCTTACCCCCACCCTCCCTTACTTTCCCTCTGAGGTTTGAGAGTCTGATCGCTGCTTCTCTTTTTCTGGGTCTGTTTTTGTTCATCAGTTTATGTTGTTCATTATTTCCTCTAGATGTGTGAGATTATATGATCCAAGAAATACCCTTGTAAAAACCTAAACTGCACCAAGCCATAATGGTTATGCTGAGAGGCAAATGAATCAGTCTATAGTGAGTTTCTTTTCTGGGCCAACAGTTCTTTTGAGTCCCAGTTTCAATGTCAAATAGTTCCTTATGTGTACATGTCAGCCATGATATTTCAGATCTGGTTGGTGGACAAATGGTGGTAATGCAGGTCAGCCCGTCTCTGGTTTGGTCCTGGGCATCTTTCAGCTGGTATGCTGAGGCGTCATCAGCATTTTCCATCTCTGAATTGTGTCTCTTCTGTCTTCATGGCTGGAGCGCTTCTGTCTATTCCTCTCTGTTACAGGATTCCAGATAGTCTCGGAGTTGTTTTAGCTGCCGTGATCAGCGTATCTTTGGATGTGGAGGTCCGAGAGTCTGCAGCTGGGGTAGCAGGATATTGGCTGGAATTGGTGCTGGGTCGTGGGGCAGTTCCAAGGCCTTTCTTGGTGGTGGTGTTGATGGGTTTCTAAAAAAGGCAAGTGTCATCTAGATTGGGGAGAAAGATGCATCAGAATCAGTAAATACTTCCCAGAAATAGCCATTTGAGGTCAGTGAAGTAGGTGGTCAGGCCTGGCTCACTCCGAGGTGCTAACTTAACAGTCATTTCTGGACAAGCCGCTGTCTAAGACCAAGCATGGCAGATTCACAAGTGCATGTGTTTTGGAGGGTTAACAAATTCCAGACATAAATCTAATATGGCATGTGCAATGTCAAACTCTACAGCTCTATAAACTCTCTTTGTGCTTGTTTAACGTGGAGGTGGCTGGGGTCAGGGTCAAAGTGTGTTTTGTGAGTAGAATTGGAAATAAGGATAGACATCTGTCAGGTAACTGAGCCTGTGTTCTATTTTGATGGCTCAGGTTATTGTTTTGGTTTGAACTGGCATCCTTTCCTTTGTTAACTTTCTTTTTCAGTGTGGCTGTGACACAGTGGCCTCCGTTAATGTGCTGCACCTTTGGGCGGGATGTCTGTGAAGGGGCTTGCCTGAGACTCGCTCAACTCACCGTTTCTCTTCATTACAGCTGCCCAAGGTTATATGGACATGGGGCTCATGCTAATGATTACTCTGAGGCTTTTGAGCAGAGTTTGGTGTCTCCTTAAACAAATTTATAATGAGATAGACTAGAATTATGGCTTATGCATAGCCTTGTGGAAAACAAATGATTAGGTCTTGACTAAATGACTGAGTCCTGGGCTCGATGGACTCTGGGTTCACAGCATCTGAACGGATGGGCCCTCCTCTTCCAGATCACTGCGAAGCCTGCTGGATGGTGAGATGGAGCACTCGGCTGTCCTCCGGCAAGAGGTCGACACCTTGAAGAAGAAGGTGTCTGAGCAGGAGGAGCGGCACATCATGAAGATCCAGGCCTTGGCAAGGTAGGAGGGCAGAGACACCAGGGGTGGGCCTGGTGGGCCTTATTAAAGCCCAAGCACACCTTTACCAACACTATTAATTAAAAAGTGTTGTGACCAGTAGCAATAAAATTTATGCATTTGAAATTTTAATATTTTATTGAATACATGTTGAATAATATGCACACACATGATTCAGAATACAATACATATAAATGGTTAATGTGTGCAATCTCCAGTGACCACGTTTGCCCTGGAAATGGGTGATATTACTGTTTCCAGATATGTCATGGATGTGTGTACTTGCTTTTAATTTTCCTCCCTGCCTCCCTTTCTCCTTTCTCCCTTAATGTACAGTGGTGGCATGTCTAACTCACACTCACTCTACATCATGGAGATGGTTCTGTGTTGTGCACAGGGCTACCATCTTTAGTAAGTAATATTTCATTGTCTGACTGCACCAGAATTTATTTGACTGTTGTACCAACAGCCAGGCATTAATGTGGTTTCCAGTCTTTTGCTACTTCTAATAATGCCACTGTGAGTAACCTCTGCGTTTGTTATTTTGCTCCTACATGACAATATTTGTTGGAAAATTTATGGAAGTAGAATAGCAGGTCAGAGTTCTGTGCTTTTCTCAGTGGAGAGATCCTCAACTTGCCCTCCACGGAGGCTGAGCCAGCCTATGTTCCACAGCAGCAGGGAGAGGGCGTGACTGAGCAGCCCACAGGGGTCGGCTCCAGCCTCTGGGCCTTTGATAACATGCAGGGGAAACATGGCACTGGCAGACTATTTTTCATTTGCATTTCCCTAATTAAGAGTATGTCTGAGCCTATTTTTATTTAAGAGCCATTTTATTTTTCTATGACTTTGTTTATATCTTATTATGAAAACTATACGGGGAAACTCCCAAATCCCAGCTCCCATAGAAAAACGCATCTCTACGGAATTTGTTCACATGGAAAGATAGTTTTATGGGCTATATTTAACATCTATAGCCTGTCATTGCTTAGTTTGCCTCTCTCCCCCCACTTAAGCTTCTTGTTCACTGTTTCTGATGCCTGGATGTAGCATTTCACTGAATTAATGTCATATTAAATAAGCATTTGCTAGACATTTGAGTGGGTCCAGTTTTTCTCCCATTTTCCCATTCCCCCATTAGGCAAGATAAACATTTTATTGGTTGTTAATGTAACACTACTTTAAAGTAAGACCAGGAGATAAGTGTGTCTTGGGGACAGGCGAGGGAGGCGGGAGTTAGTAAACTTGCAGCAGCAGCATTTATCGTCCCTGTGCTGTCAGGGCGAGTGCCACTAATGTAATTGTTATGATGTGGAATCGAAAGTTGGCACCCTCGTCCCATATTTAACTTTAATTTGAACTTCTCTCCTTTCTCTACATTTTAAAATGACACCTCAAGAGCATCAGAGACAGTTAAATGACTACAGCAAATGCCTAATTTGGCATTTTGTCAGCTGGGCCACCATTTCACCTGGCCCGGCAGGATTCTGTGGTGAAATGGTGTTTGCTCACAGTACAGGCTGCGGTCTATGGAGAGCGGTTCTGATTCATCAGAGAAACACAGACCTATATTCCCTGCCACTTTGGATTGTGTTAGGAGTCAGCTCCATTGTGTGAAGATGGCGAGCTCCTGGGTGAACTGCTGAATCTTCACAAGTGTGCACTTCCCCATTAATAACCTGGGGAGGCTAAGCTACCCACATGGGAGGACTGAGTGAGAAAGAGTTTGTGTGGAAGTACATAAGGTTCTGGACACCAGCGAGCTATTGTGAGCGTGTTTTACAGGAAGTGTATTTTAGCCTGTGATAATTCTTAGGAAAATTTTTCCCAGCAATGGAGTAGAAACATTTTTCTTAACTAAGCAGTGTTATGACTTCAAGTCCCCTCATTTAAACAATGGGGGACCTAAGTGTTTAAGGCACATGTGTCAAACACAAGGCCCGCAGGCCAAATCCGTCCCGCCAGGCCTTGCAATGTGGCCCGCACCGCGCTGTCATCACTGCACTCCGCTGCGTTTCCATCACAATGACAGTTTATGACTGTTCAGTAAACCATTCGGCCCGCGATTTAGGCTGGATTTTAGATTTTGGCCCCTTCTCTGATTGAGTTCGACACCCCTAGTTTAAGGTGTCTGAAGGTTCACAGTTTGCAGATAGAAGGAACATTTGTAAAAGAAGCAAATACTTCAGGAAAAAAGGGAAAAAAAAGGAAGAAAGCAAACAGGGAGGCTGGATGTGTACGTTTTGAAAAATCCCGCTGCTGACGTGTTCCAGGCACAGTTCATCTTTGCCACCTGCCAAGCTTTCTTCTTGCCACAAAAGGAGCAGCTGTCAGTGTTCTCAGGTGGGAGCAGGCAGGGCATTGATGCTGGGCTAGGCCTTGAGGCTGGGCCAGGCCTCTGTGAGCACTGGGGCACCCTGTTCTCAGGTCCACATGTGTTCAGGTGGCAGGTATCATAATGCCAGTGGTTTAGCCTAATGGTTAGTGACGAGGATTCTGGCATTGGACTGTGGGGGTCTGACTGAGGCTCTAATGCTTATTAGTTGTGTGACCTTGAGCAAGTTACTTAATGTCTATTTCCCTAGTTTTAAATTTTGGTTAAGAAAACTCTCTACTTTCTAGGGTTGTTGCACAATAAAATGAGAGACCATATGTCAGCTCAATAAATGTGCTTCATAAATGCTCAATAAGTGTTAACTATCATTATCATTTTTCTTTAGTATGGTAATTATATTACTAAGAAACCCTGCCACATTAAAAGTTACATTTTAACAGCAGTGGTGCAGAAAGAATTAAGTACTAGGCTATTTCGGACATAAAAAAGTGAAATTGTTTTTGCTGTAAGTATTCTAAGAGTGTGTTTGTGTGTATGAGTGTTTTACTGGTTCTGAGTATATGCCAGTTATAAAACTGAAATATCCCTGAACAAATGCATCATTTTATTACACATTTATTTTCGCTCAGAATTAACGGCTTTCCTTTCATGCTGTCATGGCTTAACCATGATCAGGGCCATATATCCATATATCCAAGCGGCTGCTCATTTCTGAGGCAGCGGCGTTATAATCAATGGCAGCTCAGGGTGGGTGCGCCTTGCTCCCTAAGTAATTGATTGCCACGTTTCCCATTGAATGAAGAGAACTTGGACTCGGAGACAGGTGTTCAAAGAAAGAAGACACAGGTTGACATGAGAGGTACCTTTGAGAGAAGTAAGTGGACGGGGTTGTGCATTACTGGGCAGTCATTTTTTTTCCCTGTTCATTGTATCAGTTATCTCTTGGTGCGTAACAAATTATCTCCAAACATGCACCTTAAAACAACAAACATTTACGATCCTCCAGGATTTCTGTGAGTTGGGAATCTGGGATGGCTCAGCTGGGTGGTCCTGGCTCTAAGTTTCCCACAAGGTTGTAGTCAAGCTTTGGCTAGAGCTTCAGTCACCTGCAAACTCCACTGGGGGTGGACGGGCCACTTTTTAATTTTCATTCTTTTTAATGTTCACCCGAGGAGTGAGAATAGTTTGTCCATTGATTTTTTAGAGAGTGGAAAGGAGGGAGGAGAGAGAGGAGCATCTATGTGAGGGAGACATCTGAACAAATGAGAGGAGACCAATAACAAACTGGTTCAAGTTACAAAAGGAATTTATTGGCTCACATAACTGAAAAGCCCAGAGGAAAAATAGCTTCAGGAAAGATTGCATCTATTGGTTGCCTCATAATCGAACCCGTGATATTCTGGTGCTAGGCAGACACTCTTAACCACTGAGCAGTGCCAGTTAGGGCTGGAAGGGCCACTTTTTAGTTCACTCGTGTGGCTGCTGCCAGGAGCTCAGCTCCCTGCCTTGTGGGCTTTCTTCATGTGGCTGCTCACAGCACAGCAGCTGGTAACTCTAGAGTAGGGGTGTCGAACTCCATCAGAGAAGGGGCCAAAATCTAAAATCCAGCCTAAATCGCGGGCCTAATGGTTTACTGAACAGTCATAAACTGTCATTGTGATGGAAACGCAGTGGAGTGCAGTGATGACAGCGCGGTGCGGGCCACATTGCAAGGCCTGGCAGGATGGATTTGGCCCGCGGGCCTTGTGCTTGACACATGTGCTCTAGAGAATACACCTGACATGGTAGCCACTGTTTCTTTTATAACCTGGTCTTGGAAATGAGACACGATTATTTCTGTTGAATTCCATTGTCACACAGATCAACCTTGTTCATGTGGGAGGGTCTGCACATGAGTGTGCATGCCAAGAGGTTGGGGTGGAGGGGGGGTCATTGGGCGCCATCTTGGAGGTTGCCTACCACATCCACCATGCTTCCGTTTCACCTTGGGACAGACACTACCCTAATCTCTCCTGGCTGGTTCTTCCTCATCCTCATTCTGCACATGTAGTTTGGTGCAATTGACGCTACCACTGCCTGCCCTGGGTTCCAGAACAGGCCAGATGATCGAGGCCTGGTCGTCGGCTTGTCCCACCCCTTGACCATTATGATTGGGTTAAAGAAGGGTGTGTGGCCAGGCTGCTCTGAGGAGCTGATTTCAGCATTCTTGAGGGGATATGGTATAAGCCAGGAGCTGTTGGCAGCTGTCTGCTACTGTGTGGGAAGATGCTGGCCTCCCCATGGTGACAACATTTTGCAGAAATAGAGGGATAGATGGAGAGAGAAACCCACAGGTCCTGATCCCATTTGAGCTCCTGGACCCAGTCTTTCCTGAAGCTATTTTCCCTTCTGGACTTTGCAGTTATGTGAGCCAATAAGTTCCTTTTGTAACTTGAGCCATTTCGTCACTGGTGCTCCTCTCTTTCGTATCTGGGGTCCTGACTAACGAGGCTTCCTAGTTGGAATGTTAGGGGATTGGAGCAAGTTGTGTTTTCTCTGTGCTCTCTCAGCAGCCAACCTGCTAGGTCCACAGAGAGACTGGTGATTTGTTGTGATTCATTACGGGTGTGAACACCCTCCTGTATTGTGCGACAGAGCACTGCTCAAGGCCTTTCCTTCCTGTTTCTCA